GTTAAGATGTGGAGAGCACAGTTCATAACACTATTCTAGCTAGCTCCAGGTCCACTAAACCACTCATATTAACTCGAGCTCTTTTCCTCTCTGGTTGTTTACCAGCATAACCTGTATCCACCTAGCTCACAAGGATGCTGTGAGAATCAACAGACAGCCTAACAAAAAATAACAACTTGGTAAACATTAAGCGCAACATTTAAGGGAGCAGTAATACAGGTGACTTAAAAGGTAGGGTCCTACTATTGAGGCCTAAAACCCAATGACAACTTTGCTAAGCCTCAATTCATCTGTAAAAGGTTTAAAAAGTGAGACTTGACACATAGTGACTTTGGCAGTGATACATTTTCCTACCAATAATATTCTTGAGGGCAAGGAAGGGGACTAATTCACGCCTAACCTTCTACTGTTGCATATACCTACTAGGCTTTCAAACAAGCTCACCAAGGCAATGGCTGAAGAAACACAGGCATTGTACTTACAGACTACCGAAGGAATAATTCAGCGTTCAACTCTGTAATATGAGAACCCACCTGAGAACCCGAAAAGAAACAAGCAACCTAATGTTTGCAGACTGTTATCACTTGCATAACCATGAATAAAATCACAGACCAAAGTGAAAACAAAAAACTGGCTGCAGACATTCAAACAGCCCAGAGCCCCTATTCTAATCCAGAACTCAGAATATAATGTACCTCAAAATTCTTTTTATCAAGTACAGAAACACTTTTAAAGTACAGTGCAAAAAATAAAGTACAGTGCACAAAACAACAACAAAACTCCACTCAAATCATTATTATTTTGCCTGGCCAGCGTGGCTCAGTGGGTGAGCATCAACCTATGAACCAGATCACGGTTCGATACCTGGTCAGTGCATATGCCCGGGGTTGCGGGCTCGATCCCCAGTGTGGGGCATGCAGGAGGCAGCTGATCAATGATTCTATCTCATCATTGATGTTTCTATCTCTCTCCCCCTCTTCCTTCCTCTCTGAAATCAACAAAAATATATATTTTCTAAAATCGTTATTATTTAAATAATAAACTTCAGCCCTAGCCAGTTTTTCTCAGTGGTTAGAGCGTAGGCCCCCATACCGAAGGGTCTCGGGTTCAATTCCCAGTCAAGAACATGTACTGTACCTAGGTTGCTGGGGTGCATGAGGGAAGCAACCAGAAGTGTGTGAGTGAGTGTGAGTGTGAGTGTGTGTGTGTGTGTGTGTGTGGTGGAGGCAACCAATCCATGTCTCTTATCACGTTGATATTTGTTTCTCTCTCCCTCTCCCCACCTCCCTCCCCTCCACTCTCCCTAAAAATCAGTGGAAAAAATATCCTCCTGTGAGGATTGAAAATAAATAAATAATAATCTTAGAACGGCTGCATTTAGTGAGCGGTTACCAGGGTAGTGTCATGTAAGTGGAAAGGGTGTTTAAGTCAAGATGGCCTCCCCTAGACTCTTTAGGTCAATTACCTTAACCTGAGTTTTCTAAATGGTTAAAAAAAATTTTTTTTCTTGCTTGCAAAACAGTTAACACAAACATTACTTTTCCAATAATCTAAACTAAATATGCATTTTTTATTTATTTTTTAACAGGGAGAAGCTTTGTTTTTGTCCACTTCTGTTCCGAAATGGTACATGGGTCAGAGGCTAGCTGCAGAGGATTGAATGCAGAGCAAATTTTTATTTTTAATAGTCCATGTTATGTTTGTCAAATGAATCAGCCACAAAAGACTATTTGAAAATGAACAGTGAAAAATAGGAAATTTAATAAAGTACCCTGGACGCTACATAATCTGTTAACTAATTCAACTTCTCATCTGGCCTGATTCTAGCAGCACTCCATCCTGTGATTAAGTGCTTTGGAAGAAAATATTCAGGATATAAATGTACCTTAAAGGCCTCCAAATATGGCCCTCAGAAATCCAACTAGGATACCCTACAGATGTTGAAAAAAGTCTAAAATGAACAAATCCCTTTCCAGAGTTTTCAATAATTAAGTGTTGAGAATATTTCCAAAATGCCTTTCTGAGAACCAGTAACCATCGTATTTTTTTCCTCACCTAAGTTTACCATAGCTAGTATTTAGTAAATGCTCATTAACATAAAACGCTTGTAACTACATTCATTTTAACCCCCACAAATTGTAGTTATGCACATTAAAAATTTGGGGGAAGGAAAATTCATTAACACAATTTAACTGAGGTAACAAGGAGTTGGGGAGAATGGGAAGTTATTGGTTAGTGGCTCCAGTTTGGGATGTTGAAAAAGTTCTGGACATGGATAGTAGTAATGGTTGCATAACACTGAATGCACCTAATGACAAGGAATCTCACACTTCAAATAGTTAAAAGTTGTAAATTCTACACTATGTATGTATATGTTACAATTTATAAAAACGCGTGGCAAGTCAAATGTGCGCCCAGCTTTTCCCTCTCCTCCCCCAAGTGCTCTTCTTTCAGGTGACTGTAATCAGAATGAGTGGGTTTCACGGGGGAAGATCATGCTTCAAGGAAATTTAAAAAACCGAGGACCCGAGACAGAGCCCCAAGCAGGACTCAAAAAGATGACGGAGTTTGGAAGAGGGTGGCCAGCCAAATGATGGAAAATCTCCGCCTAGAACACGGAAAAGGATGTTTTCTCTTTTTCCTGTTTGTTTCTAAGGGTGAACACGAAGCAGCAGGCCCGACTGCTCTATGAATACCTCCTGCACACCTGGGGAGGAAGTGCGGGACGCGGCGAGG